TATAGAAAGTCAAGGGACTGGTATGAAATAGAAATAATATTGAAATGAACATAAATGTGTTTTAGAGTCGTATGAGGAAAATTTGTTTCGGTATACCTTGAGCTAAAAACAAAATATGGAAATAAAAAAAAGTGATTTATGTTGATTCTGATCAGAAAGAATCGGAAAGAATAGTGATATTTTCTAACACTGAAGATATGGAAAATACATTGACAGTATTGGTCATGATTGGACATAAAAGTAATGTATGACCAATTTTTACTATTGGATGAACTTGCTAGGAAGGGATCCGAGACAGAGTTCATTGACCCGGAGCCCTTCTGTGGCACATCTCCCAGTGTGGTCAGGCGGGCTCTGGGCAAATGGACAGAGACAGAACACAGGAAATACTGGACTTCAAGGCCAGGACATAGCCATTCTAAGGAGCTCATGGAGTTATCCTTCGAAGGAAAGAGCGAATGATTTACTGAGCTTGAACAGAATCCGGCTCAGGAGAGTGACAGGACTCATAACGGGACACTGTCACTTTAGGAAACATCTACATAAGCTAAAGCTTGTAGACAGTCCGGTCTGCCGAGGATGTGAATCGGCGGATGAAACTTCTCTGCATATCCTGGGCGAGTGCCCGGGATTTGCACGTAGCAGAATGGCGCTCCTTGGGAGACCCTATTTGGAACCCAAGGAACTGAGAGAAGTGTCAGCAAGGAAGCTTTTGGACTTTGTAAAAAGGACAAATCTACTTGCTGAATAGGACTAGTAGTGGGACGCACAATAGGCCTAATTAGGCCGCACTGCTATGGGACTTATTAGGACCAACCATTAGGAGAAGAAGAATAAGAAGAAGAAGAAGAATTTTTACTATTAGGTAACGATTCGTTTTTATATGAGATTTTATATGAACTTGTATAGAAAATAGATCTTCGTTCATTAAATGTAATGTGTATGCTAGTGTATACAAGGTGTCAGAAGTTTGACTGTTTTAATTTTAACAGACAGACAATTCAGTTGGAATCTGGAATTGGACCGTGTCTGAGTGTTTTTTGCGTACCACTATTTCCTTTTCTTGAGGCGTTTTCCAGCGAGTACGCGAAAATTGGATTCGAAGGTGTTGTGCGTGCATCGGAAATGGTGATGGACATTTTGAGCAGATATTATGTTGTAGTTTGTTTTGTATTTGTGAGTTTAAAAACTATTGAATTTTGCTTTTTGTAAGTACCTAAATTATTTGTAATACGTATGATTATTTGGATGACGTGAATCTTTGGGTACTTTAATTACATATTTTTCAAATTCATAATTTGATTAAGTCAAGTTCCTGTTTTAAGGAGATTCATAATTACTAAAATTTGAGCTAAAATTTAATCACAACATTATCTTCGTACTATAAAATTGACACATTTTATTTTATTTATTTAAAAACTGGAAAACAATTGTCTTGAAATGTACTAAATGTTTCACAATAATAGTTGTTTACATTTTTTCCGTAGGACAAGTCTGTCACGTGCACATGTGGTATGCACCAGCTGTGTAGCGTTAGGTTAAGCGCTGTTGTCACGTTGTGATGAAACTCACCAATATTAATATTCGCTGTGTTTTGAAAACTGTTAATCTTACACCACTGTAATATACAACTTTTTTGTTCATTTATGATTACTCTATCTCATACTGAAGTAATGGCAGTCAAACTTCTTACACCCTGTATGTATCTTGATTTCGTCGATGTACCTGTAAACAATAAACGCTAAAATTCGAGTAGCGTTGTTTAAATAGGTAATTTAAGAATGTAATTGTTCACTCTATAGAATCTTATTTTTATGACATTCATCTTAGCTGCTTTTTACGCAAGAAACTGAGACAAATATTTTTTGTAAAAGTGAATTTCCCACGTAGTATTTAAATTATATAAAACATGTTTCGCCTTTCTTTGATGTATCACCGATCTAATGATAGATATCTCTGGCGCGATGTTTTCTATTCTACATTTGTTACTTCTTTTTTTTTCAGAATTGTGAATACATGAATAAACGATGAACTAAATATGTGTCTAGACAATACCGACAACAAGCAGTGAAACACAAATGAAGATAAATCTTCCACGGCTTGGTCAGTAGCGTCAATAAAAGTTAATTAATTCTAATGCGAATTTTAAACAATGTGCCTAATTAACAACGTATGGCACAAATGCTTGGTACTAACAACTTTCTTTATTAGTAGTACAAACTTTGGAGAGATAAAGGGCAGTGGGATATGCTTCCGGTTGAATTAGATGATGCCTATTTTAAGCTTTACGCCTCAAAAAACTTCACAGTCTAATGCTCAAGGAATGCGGTTTACAATTATTTACCTATCGTACGCGTTTTACAATGGTAATTTCGTTAATCAATGATTTTATGTGGTTTCTGTTGCATTCCTGATGGCATGTATATTATTTACACATCGTAAATATTTTTTTTTAACTATTTTCACTTCAGGTGAAACTTCGCGATGAAATCGAACTTGTTCTAGTAACAGACGTGTAATGAGTGTACCGCAATTTAAATTATTTGTCAAAACACCGCAATTGCAAAAAGGTAATAAACTTAACCGTAACACCACAAAAAGTGGACTAGTTAATTTTCTGCTGAAATGGTTCAAGTTTAAAAAAGATTACGTGAGTTTTTATATAAATCACGTCAGTAAATACCCGAGTAAATATCCCACAAAAAACTTTTTAACCAGCAGTGAATATTGCAAGTTTTCAATCAAATAAAATCTTTAAACGAAAAAAAGGACTGCACTTTTTTTTAAACATTTATTTTGAAACCATGTTTAACGTACAGTGGTTTATATGGAACCTTAAATTGTTTAATAGCAACCTATAGTAGATAAAAGAAATACAAAAAGATAAACTTGTAATTATACAGGGTGTTTCGCACAAGAACCGACACAGAGCAGGAGCATCTAGGGGAACCCAAAATACTTATGGTGTTTTAACACAGCTTACCTTTATACCTCGCTTTATACTAAGCTGCACGCTGCACCCCTCAGAAGTTATAGGCCTTGAAAGTGGGGTTTCAAATTTCAGAAAGAATCAATATCTCGCTTATATTTGAACTCAGAAAAACCAAATTGGGTATAGTCTTACCGAAGTCAGTTAGACATGTATTAAAACTCCTAGCAATAAAATTTAATAATGAATTTCATAGGCGTCCCTAAGATAGTTTTCTGCCGAAGGTAAAAAATTATAATAATTTGTGTATAATGTGTAGAAAATTTCTATTATTTGTTCATTTGGCCACAACATAGTTTAATTATTTATGTCCTCAAACAATTTTATTATATTAATGGTAAATTTCGTTTTGTTCCGTTTCAAAAGGTCTTCAAAATACCATGTTGTAATAATAGATATTATTTCTCCCTTTCGCAATTATAATATCAATGATTAATAGAAGGTGCCTATAATAAATTAAAATTACCTGAATCACACCAAATTCCGCATTGTTGCACTGCACTGCTGGGCAATTTGTCAACCGCTTGTCAACAGCTGACATTTATTGCCCAGTGGGCCAATACAGCTGTGTTTTATTTCGTTTGCCCGCGCTCGCATTCTTCAACTGGGCGTATACATTTCTACCACCTCCACGTTTAATTCGACTAGACCTGTATATGGGTATGGTACATACTGTCAACGTCTTGGTTTTTCAATTGAAATCGGAAAGACTATACACGGTGTGAGTGTACCAAGAGCTTTCATCGACAGTAAGTAGAGTTCAATTGAAGCATTTTAAAAGGTTGATAAGGGATGATGTACCATTAAAATGAGACAAAAATTTTTAACCCGCGTAAAGTTCAAGAAATGTAATGATAAACATAAGAAGTAAAGATGTTTTTTTTTCTTTATTCTAAATGTATTCTTAGCTCGTAAACTTTCTTAAAATGCGAAGAGATTGTTTCTAAATTGCTTAGATTTTCTAAAACTACTGAAAATTCCGCATAAAAACGTCCCCTTAAGAGATAGACCCATAAAATCGTCAAAGCTCTCTATTTTCGTAGAATAATATTCATCTTGGACAAATTATCTTGAGAACTGAAATGCGCAAGTCAAAAAGAGAGCACGCTTCACTAAAATGAGATGGAAACACAGAAAACAGGTAACCCATAGTAAAATATAGTCTTACACAACTACTTTTCCACTGCACTTCTTATCTCCAGGGTTCAAATGCATTTGTTATATCAAATATCAAATTATGTAAATATTTCGAATAACTAAGGATCCTCTGAGACGTTCCGCAGTGGCCATTCCCTGTAAACTGACCGCTTCCACTCAGGTCACGGCATGACAAAAAAACCGAAAAACTATCGCACTCTTAATATTTGGGTAAAAATTTTGAAATATTTGCATATTAAAATAATTATTTACGTAATGCACGATGCGCGCATGCGTTAACTCTCCTCCCTACCCCGACATTTTTTTTAACACACTTAAACAATTTATTATTAAAATGAAGATTTTAGTGTATACCAGTGTATACTCTTCTCACATCTTTGACTACATCGCCAAGGTAGAAAATCTATTGTTGGATCCCATTTACAAAAACATCCGAAACAACCCAGTCAAGAAAGTTGAGAAGGAGGTAGCCGCTGCAGTTCGATCTTCAAACATACCCAAGAACCTCACAGAAGTTTGATCCAAACGACTCAAAGACGCTTCAGTTGTACTGCCTGAAAAAGATTCACAAACCGAATCTTCCTCTTCGACCGACAGTGAGTGCAGTTGGATCAGCAACACACCCCATGGCCCGATACGTCGCACAGGAGACAAGGGACTTAGTAAGGAGGACAGAGCATCACGTTAAAAACGCCGGAGACTATTGACAAGATTCGAGGAATTGAACTCCAACCAGAAGATATCCTGGTGAGCTTCGATGTTACATAGGTACCTATTTACGAAAGTACCTATCGACGAAGCTCTGGAGAAACTGTATTGAAGAGTAATCGTAGAGGATAAGGATGAGAGCCTAATGGATTTGGCAAAAGTGTGTATAAAATCGACCTTCTTTGCATTCCGGGACCAATTCTACGAACAGACGGAGGGAGCAGCAATGGGTTCACCGTTATATCCGGTCCTGGCCAATATATACATGGAAGCCTTTGAGAAGAAAGCTCTGGAATCCACAACGTTGAAGCCTAAGTGCTGGTACCTATATGTTGACGACACCTTCATCATCTGGCCCCACGGACGCAACACCGTAGCGGATTTCCTGGATCACATCAATGGGATACATCCAGATATCCAGTTTACCATGGAAGTAGAGAAAAATGCCGCCCTTCCCTTCTTGGATGTTTTGGTTGAGAGGAAACCAGACGGCACTTTAGGACATCAAGTACATATACGGGAAGCCAAATCACACAGACAGATATTTGAATGCGGAGTCCCACCATCACCCAGCCCAGAAACAGAGGAGCCAAGACATGTAGCTGAAGAACTAGAACACCTATGCACGGCCCTCAGAGGTAATGGCTACACGGCGAGAAATATCGAACGAGCTATCAGGAGACATACGCCCATGGAGAAACGGGAGTGCAACAACTATACGACCAGCTCCAAGGCCCCGGTGTGTACAGTATTCCTTGTTCTTGCGGAAAGGTCTACATAGGACAAACAGGAAGGCACATCAACACAAAGTTACAAGAACACGAAAATCACCTCAAAAATAACAACTGGGAAAAATCGGTAGTGGCAGAGCATAGGGCGGACACGGGACACACAGTGGATCTGAGTGGTGGCCGGGGGATCTGTCAGGTATATGGAATAAGAGTCATCCGTGAAAGCAACCCACTGGAACGTCAACAACGCGTACGATGTCACCCAACGGAACATCATGGATTAGTGACCTCGTCAAATATAAATAGTTATAAGATTAGTAGAACTCCAGTTTCAGAGTAACTTCTGAAGAAGAGAACAATATGTCTCTCGAAACGTCAAGAATTGTAAATCGACGACGTGACAACCAGCCAGGAAATCATTCAACCTTTAACGACAGTCACGGAAGCCTACAAACAAAAATTTTGTTTATATTTTTATTTAGTCTTAGTCTTGTAAATGATGAAGTTTGTGACATCGCAGTACAATCAATAAGACACATTTTTTTCACTTGTTCACTTACAAAATTCTAACGCGGTTTAACTTTAAACCAGTTTTTTACAAAGCGACTGCTTTCAGCGACAAATACTAAGAGTACCTTTTGTACGTAAAATTGAATGGAGAATGTTTAGTTAAATGACGTACAGTGCGACACAAAAAAGTTATGGTTATTTAAATCCTGGTACCACACTGTATGTGGTGCCCATTTAACATTAAACAAAAAACTAAGTGAATATTCGAGTTTCTCATCATCAATCAGTTTCCCGAATTTCGTCAAATTACCATGTTACTGAACAAAGGTATAATTAAAATACCAAGAAAAAATTAGTCAAACATTCCCCCTTTAAGGTTTGTACAAGTACTTAATAATCACCCTGTATATTTTTTCTATATCTATAACATTATACACTCTCCTAATTGGGAACGATGGTTAAAGTTGTCAGTACCATTGTACCTCTTTAGTAATCGACACATTATAATATGACATCGTCCGACACAGTTTCATGAATTCATTTGTTGAAGGATACCAAGCAAAATTTAAACATACATTTATTTTATCGTTTGTCCTTAAAACTTATCAATGGTTACTTAACTAGGTAAATTGTTGTAACAATGATGAAAACAAATTATTTATCGAGGCCTAGAATTCCACCCGTATTACATCGTCACGCACTTTACACAACATACCTTATTTAAAAAATACCAAAGTGTCTAAAACATGATTGGGTGACAATATAACAGTCCCACCTTTTTACGCTTTTAAATTGGAAACTGTATTTATCAACTTGACATTCTCATATTCGCGTATAAGCTAATTAAATATTTGTTGTACTGCATGGTGCCTGGCGGACTAAGGATCGTATTATGATAATTGTTTGCTTAGCAAAAATGTAAAGAATCTCATTATAAACAACAACATTTTTCCATTATTGCGGAATGATTTTGTTGGAACAAATCATAGTGACCTAGAGTAGCATAGCTGTGTCTAATTCAATTCTAACTTTCTTTTATGCAAGACGTCATATTAAGCAAATAAAAACCTACAAATTGAATGACTTCGAGCGTCTTAACCGAATCAGAATATCATACAACTTGGTGATTTAAAATTATCACTTTTTTTAGGAGACCTCGATAGGTTTATACGCTTGTTTATGCGAGGGGGAAACCGCAGGAAATATTTGAGTAATACTGAATGCTATTTGAGCAATACTTCGGTATTTTTCAAGTATTAAAGCAATTATTTATGTCGTACGTGCGACTGCGCGCATGCGTCTGAAGCCGCCCCTCCATGTGTTTTTCTTTTATTTCTGGATAACACTTGAGTGACTTGACAAGTGATTGTTCATTTTACGAGAAAAAGGCATTATTGATTGAAATTTTTACGTATCTTTGAAGATATGTTAAAGATATTTCAAAGCAAAAATTTTAATCAAGAATGTTTCGTAAAATGAACAATAAAATTTTTTTTACTGTCCGTTTCTATCAGAGTAGGCCGATTCATACACAAATTGAAATTATAATAAATTTTAATTCTAAGCAACTTCTTTTAATAAAATATTTCTGTATTGTTAAAAACAAAGGCAGTTTATTCTAGAATTATTTTTATATTTACCGATTTTCTGATCACCCTGTACATGCAAGATGAAAGTTCTCAATGCTAACCGCATTTTAAAGACAAGCAAAATTTTAATAAAGAATGCTTTTTTCTCGTAAAACAAAAAATAAAAATATTTTTCCTCTTTTCCACTCTAACCGTGGATACACTGTATGCATATTTATGGTACTTTAAGATCTATTTTACTAAGAAACAGGAAAACTACATACATATTATTGCTACACAAAGTGTACACACTATTATTTTGTAATTTTTTTAGAAAGAATATATTTTTTTTACATATTTGAATATTTTCCCAATGTTACGACGTACTGAAGTGATTAGAAAATATCGCTAAATAAATTTTAGAAGATTTATTAATGCATTCTCTAGAATAAATTATAAATTTATTAATTATACCTAAAGATAAATACAGAATATTATTTATATCAATTAATTAAACTTTTTAAAATAATGTAACAATGGAAAAATTGGCAAGTTTAAATTAACGAAGTCTGTAATAAAAATATATATAAAACAGTGTCTGTAAAAACCTCCCAATTTATTTAAAGGACAAAGCAGTTTTTTTTGGTGACGTTTTTGTCCTCCAATGTTTAAACTTAAAAATGAGCTCAAATACCTTTTCATACTCTAGAAAACCGTATAAAGTTTAAGTACCTAATCTTAGACTTCTTTAACTATGAAGACTAATTAAAATATATTTTCTTCCATAAAATTGACTTTTAATATAAAATAATTAAGTATAAGGAAAAATGTGCTTTATATATTTTCTGGGAAAAGTTTTATTGTTAAAACCGAAAACAATCAGTAAAATAGATCTTAAATAGTAAGCTACAATCTGGATGGATGTGTGTAAAGGTTAGGTAAAGTTAGGCAATTGATGTTTCTCATACATAGTTATATTTATTATTTCGAGTATTATTTACTTACATCAGAATTTATTTATAACATCATAGTTAGGTAGATAAAACATTGTGTTACATTATTGCGCTACAAATAAATCTAAACATGCTTACTGCACAACTAGCACAGTTCTCTACACATGCGCGGTAACACCACACAGTGTGGTCACATGATTAATCTGACTGGTTGAGCCAAATCAGGTCATGTAAATTCACAGTATTACTCGTATATTTACATCAAATGTAGTGAAAACACATAAGATATTAACAATAATACATTTTAAAATGACAGAGTACACTGTAAAAGGTAAGAAGCCGCAAAAGGAAAATATGCACCCAAACGTGTCTAGAATACACAATATAACATGCATGTTCAATTCATTTACATTTTTGTACACATATAAAAACCATTACAAATATGTAAAAAACCTACGTGAATTTCCATTTTTTTCAGTGTAGTTTGATACAGTTTCACTGTCCCTCAAATATTGTTATAACTGAACTTGTATGTATGTAGTTACTCTTTAATTTCAAGTTTTGTTGAAACAATTGTCTGAAACCGTTTCAAACAAGGTCACTTGATTTCACTTTCTATTTGAAAAACATGGAGATGCAGCTGTCACAGAAGCCTTTTACCCTGGGAACGAAATTTGTACATCAAAGTCTGCATTGACCGATTAAAAACCATCTCTTCCAAGGTTTTTCAAAAGTCAAAAAATATTTCTAGAAAATGTAGGTATAGGTTTTGAAAGTGCGTCAAAATGTTAATAGCAACGGCTCCTTTACCACCCTGTACATTCTGATAGGTCTGCCAAACACCTGCATTTCATTTATAATTCTCAGAAGAATGTAGCGTGTGTACATAAATGGAGCCCCTCGAGTAGGTATTCCAGCATCTAATATCTCATTTAGTTTTATTCACATATTTATCGAACAACGTGGGCTAAATTTTTTATAACCGCGAAGCCGTAACTCCTTAGTCACATTCTGCGTTACATTATAAAGTTGTTAAACAAAAATGTTAATGACTGTGATACATAAACACGAATGGTACACTTAAAGTTATCTTACAAATATTTAAATGGTTGGCATAGTAAAAATTAGAATAAAATTTAATAGGGACTAAATTACATACCTATGATGTCATAATATATTCTATGAAACAAAGGATATTGAATATAATGACTTGTTTTAAGAGCTTGAAGCGGGTCTCTTTTCTTGTAACAATAATAGAATACTGCACTTATTCTAATATTTTGGTGTCGTAAATTAAACATTAAGCAGGGAAGGCATAAAAAAATAATTGTAGTTAGAAACTCAAAAAAATAAATTATTTCTATTAATTATGTAATTTTTAATCCGCTGTTTGACAAGGATTCCATTGATGTGTAAAGCCAATGGAAGTGTTTTGAAGGTAATGGTTGATAATGTTGATTTAAATGTTATCAATTTTATAGAAATCCGCAAATTGTTTTATACCATATGATATAATATTATGGAAGTACGTAAAAAGCGAGATTATATACTAAATATAGAGTTTCGTGGTAATTGAATATAAGAAGTATTGATCAAATACTAAATTAAGCATCTAGGCAGACGATTTATTTGTAGGGGTAAGGCAGATACTAAGACACTCACCTAAATCTGTATATAGGTACATACAAGTACAATAATAATTCGTATTTAAAGGATTGGACTAAGTTTAAATATCACAGAAAAATTTCTACATTACTACTACATTAAAATTAATTCATTTTATTTTATAGATAATTTTTGGACATCATTTGATTTGCATGCTCCACTACTTTCATCTATAAAGAATGTAATAGTCCGGGAGGCAGCGACAGAAATTTTGCACCAATTCCTACAAAGCTGATTTTTTCTCATTTTGTTGTTTTGATATCGTAAGTAAACGAAACGGCAGTCTACCGCGCCAATGTGGGGGCAAACGTTAGTAACAATTTTTTAAACATGTAAATAAATGATACTTAAATG